CGCATTGTTGAGATGGTTGAGCACTCGCTAAAAATTGAATGTAATTTTTTACATAATTTCTCATAATTTTAACCTTAGACCATTGTTTTTCCGACATACAAATCTTTTAAAAAATATTTTTTTTTGGTGTTGGGGAGGGGATAAAGGGGGGGGGGTTTTATAGGGGTGTTGGAAAAATTTAATGTTTAAAAAGGGGGGGGGGGGGGGGGGGGGGGGGGGTTTAGGGGGGGGGGGGGGGGGGGGGGGGGGTTGAAGGTTAATTTCAAACACTGATAAATGGCCAACCTTGACCAACGCTCGAATATCGTCACGTTGTGAATTGCGTAGCGTATTCAGCTGGGGGTACGCTTGTTCACGCAGATAATTCTGAATTACTTCAATTGCCGAATATAGTCGGAACAAACCTGTAAATTCGGGTCGTGTACGATCAGGTTGTCAATGGCCGACACCGTGTTCGAGATGATCGTAAATGAGGAAGAGTTGAGCATCGGTAACAATGGGGGTAATAGGCTTGCCCTAAAAAAATATAAATCATTTAAACGAATAGTATAAATAGATTTTGAAAAAGCAAGGACCCTTGAACTTACCGAATTTGTGCGTGACACGGCGCGCTGGACACGTACTGTGTCGCGTATTTCAAAACTCCGGTCGCACTCTCAACAATCAACTAAACAAATTTGCATGAATTTTCGTTAATTTTAGTACCGTTGCCTTGGCGTTGGGCGTCAGCAGTTCTACGAGGTAGGTGAGGCAGAATTCCGTTTTGCAGATTGCCTTCTTGTTGTCCGTCTGGAAATGGGAAGGTTAGGAAATACACATAAGACTTGTAGCCTACCGAATGTGAGGCGAGATTCCAGAGGGCAGAAAGCGTAGCCGAAACGGCGGCCATTTCACGATCCCGCGCTTCTTTGTTTGACATATTTTGAACGATGGCTTTTTTCTGTAAAGTTATTGATGGTATTTAAATCGATTTCAAAAAGACTTTTTGGTCAAAAACGCATGAAAAAGAAACAAAGTCAACATTTTCGAATTTCCTCAATTTTCAAAACATTTTTAACGTTTTTGGCGGGTAAAAACCACTAAAAAGACCATAAAAAACACATTTTATATTATCAACAGATAGGTATAAAAAATTAGTTTCCCCTGCTAAAGCCCCCACGGTAACAGTCAGTACCCCATGGCTTACATAGGCATCGACAAAGGCCTCCGCAACGGCCGGGCAGGTTGGAGAGAGTAGTTCAAACATTTTACTGTCGGCCATCCAGGAAACGTTCCGGATTAAACCGGCGTAAACCTGAAACAGTAGCGTGCGTTTAATGCCCGCTTTCGGAATACGTACCTGCGTCAACATAGGCAGCTTGATCAAAATGACGAGCGTGGCTATTAAATCATCATGCTCGCATAATCGGCGTTTGCTCGGGGCATTTCCGTAAGTCAGATTCGTCAGCGAATTGGCTATCAATTTTCGTAGTGTGCGATGCTCGGCAGCCATCGTCTGAAGGTTATTTATGCGATTAAGCGAGTACGACCTACCTGAGATTGGTCTGTCCCATACACTTTCACTTCAAGCACTAACAATTCGGCAATCACGTCAACGAGACCTAAAAATAAATTGCTATCCACGACATTGTAAAATACCCAATGCGGTGGCTGCTTCACGAAAGTGCTCGTCAAATGATTCTTTGACGACAGCGTCAAGACTCTGCACGAGGCGAGGGATATCGACGTCCGGCATGTCTTGTCGTGTTCGCATCAGCAAAAACACCTTAAAAATGGCTATTATTCCCTATATGACTATCACTACCTGCTCGCGAATATAATTAATGGCCGGTGAAGCTCGCCTGAGTCTTCGTCTCCTGCAAAAAAAAAAAAAATTTTTTTCCAGCCACAACGAACCTATTCCCGTCTGGCTCCTGGCCAATAATCGTTGAAATCTGTTCGTGGAGATCGCGTACCGAATCACCATAGTCTTTGTCCGGAAGTTTCCTAAATTACTTGGTGAAGATAATGATTTACTACGTACCGTAATTTGTATAATAGAAGCGGCCGAAGCAGCTTGTCAAGGGCCTGATTGACGGTCTCGCCGTTCTAAAGAAAACTAAAATTTAATTCTGAGTGGCCTACCTCCAAATAGCCCTGACTCGTTGACGGGTTTGACGCCCGGCCCGAGTCGCTCATCTGAAATGGAAATTTTTAGAAAAGTTTGAATACTTAGGGAGTGTAACGAAAGTGAGAACTTATGAAGGGATTAAAGACCAGTGGGAAATGGTCAAGGGGGAAATGAACGGGTCCAATGGGCAATGAGGACAGCAATTGTGCTGTAATGCGACAAACGGGAAGGGTGGACACAGCGCAAGGAACGCTCAGTGTACAACATAGCAGGCCATTATGATCTTGTTTCCGCGTGACAATTTGATAGATTTCGAGGGTAAAATGTGGAGCGCAATAGAAAGCTAAAAGCCTAGAATATCCAAATGCATATTATTCGGATTTGTGACCTTTAAAGCCAGAGCTAAAAACTAAAAAAGCTACGCCAAGTTAAGAAAAGAGAAGAAGCATTACGGCAGCTCGAAAAAACAATAGATTTCTCAATATGGGGAGAGTACTGGTAAATAGAATTGAGTTGGCTCGGCCGAGATGAGGGCGGCGAGCAGCAGCCTAATTGAAAGCGGGCTAGCCGGAAAGCCACGGCTACTAAATCGGGGGAATTCCTAGCAAATCTAGCAATCCTAGCAAGAAAAATCCAAAAAAATCAAGTCGATTGATCGAAATGAGTCGCCCGAAAGTCAATATGGGCCAGACCATGCCACTGCATCGAGTCATCGTATCGGGTTTCCGCTTTCGGAATGAGCCGCAACAGTACGCAAAGTCGATTGCGTCAGACTATATCGCGGTAGGCTGTGCAAATATGGCTAGAAAGGAAGGGAATTTGGCATTCGGGTTTGAAAAACCCGCTATATACGCTAAAGCGTACGGCTATTTTCGGAATTTTTCTCAACAAAACACGACAGAAACCTGGAAACGAATTATGTAAGTAAAGTCATGTCATTGCTGAATTATTTTTGTCCTATAATTGAAAACGAAAATGAAAAAAAAGAGAAGTATGGCGTTTCGGTCCCGAAAGGTGGTTCAGCGTTATCAACTAATGTCTGCATATTTGCGCGCATTAATGATAAGCTTTCGAGCATTTCCCGGCCTGAATAATCCAGAAAAAATCTATTTACGCTTAAAAAACAATTCAGTTCCCGGCGGCACCCCACCAACCCAAACTCCTCACAACACAAAAAATTGACTGGGCAGCTAGAGGAAGGAAATATGGGCCCCACGGGGGCGGAGGGGATGTGTCTCATGGGAAGCAAGAGAATGGGAGCCAATTTGTCGGTGGCGCGGGAGTATTTTGGCTTGTATGGGTTGCGTTTGAGGGGGAAGAAGGCGGTGGTAGAAAAGGGGCTCTGGGGACATTGGCTGCTGCTGTGGGGGGATGGCTTGGGGTCGGCGGTGCCCTCAGAGAAAGAAAGACAGCCCCTCCACCCTCCTGTCGACCCCATAAAGGGAAGAAAAGGGGGAGACGGAGGACGAGGAGGAAGAGCAGCATACGAGCCGAAAGGAGGGACGGGTCAAGATAGGAAAAAAAGAGGCAGAGGACCCAGAGACAAGGCGCATACACACCCTCACACGCACCAACCGAGACATTAGGCCCTGGGGGCATCCACCCCTTCATCTCCCGGCTAAGCCCAGCCACACACTCAATCGCTCATCGCAAAAACAACCCCGGCTACAATCGAGCCCCGCTAACCCAGTTGGACTCTAGGGGTTAGTCCGGAATTCTTGTCGTTATAAGATTAAGAGATAGGTTAGAAACAACCACTTTAGGTGATAGGTTTTGCGCTCTTTCACTGCTCAGTGGATCAACAGAACCTGAAATTCTAAACAAGTCTCATCTTGAAAAAAACCCTGAAAAAAAACACTCTTTGAGCAGTTCACATTTTTAAAACAGGCCCAAAATCAGAAAAATCAACCTCTTTCAAAGATAATTTTCGCCCAGAAACTTGTGATTCAGCGGTTTGTAAACCATCGAAATTGTTTAGTGTTTCAAGCTCTATCGAATGGGATGTCACATTGCAAAAATGCATCACCTAAAAAGACTAGCCTTTAAGGAAAAAAAAATGCTTTATTAACAAGCCAACCATATCTGGATCTGGACCCGAATATGCACTCTAGAAAAACCTAGCTCTAAATCTAAATAAAAAATAAAATTACTAAGACAACACTCTCAACAGGACGTGCCGCCAAAAGCACCACGGCCAGGAGCGTAGCACCGCCAGACAGACTCTCTCCCAAAGGTTATCTGCCAGCTTGCCTAATCGAAATGGCGATCGAGCCCTGTGGGCATGTTCTCCCCATCGCCTTGCCGGGGCCATTATCTACGTTCAAATGTCCCCCTTCGTGACCGAATGCGCTATCAATCGAATTTGCATTCCCATACAGGCACGCGCTTGGGCAAACCTAATACCGTTTGAAAAGGGAGAAGCATCAAGCTTTCTGATACAACCTACGGTATGGGCAAGCATTAGTTTTAAACATAAAAACCACGAACCTTGTTAAACCAAGGTCACCTGCAGGCAGTCGTTGAGAAGTGTGCGCATAGACTGAAAACGACTACAATTTCCCCCTCACCACCCCCCAATAGCCATTCCAACAACAATTCGGCGTCTAACCGGAAATTAGGAAACCCAGACAGACGCCATGGTCAGGATATCCATTTATTATTATAGCGGCATGTGATCCGAAATAGAGGTGAAATGTAGATTGAATCGGAGAAGAAGAAGAAGAAGTGACAGCGGAAAGGCACAGTATACACAAAGAAGATGGGATATCACAACAAATAGTACCCAATACAAGGAAATACCAACGGGGAAACCAATACCCATATAATACATATAAACCGGCCAAATAAATAGTACAAGACCAGCGAAAAAAATATATTTTCAGAATATTTAGGGTTCTTGTTTGGAGTCCGTAGCATTGTCTTTAGGCTGGACGATGTTGATAGTGGCTAAAAAAAAAAAGAGTAAAAAATCTGGAAGGAAAACTTGTATACCAGTAACGTTGGACTGAGCTTCTCTCGGTTCTCGGCGCTCTTCTTTTGGAATTTGGGGAGACTTGACAGATTTTTCCTCCAGCTTCTCAACCGGCTTTTCCACGGGCTTTTCCAGCGGTTTTTCAGGCTCTTGGGGAGCTTTTGTTGGTTCCTAAACGTGCGATAATTTTTATCCAAAATTTGGTATCAGACTGTTTGCGGGCGTGGGGGGGCGGTAATTTTTCTAAGCAATCCCGTATAACAAAACATAAGCCATTTTTAAAGTACAGTTTTTAGATAGAAAAATCCCATAAAAATTATACAAATTTTCGATGTTTTGGCAAAAAAATGTATGAAAAATGAACAAAAAATTTCAAAATGGCAACCTTTTTACACCTTTCTAGCATTCAAATATGACTAACAACACTATAAAAATACATTATATGATCCATAGAGGGGAACAACCCCCCCCCCTGCTAAAAGTCCAATACCAAACATTTTACAAAACAGTACCTTTTTCAAATCATGCTTGTGCTCCACCGGTTTAACTTTCTCCGTGTCCGACTCATTTTTCGGTTCATCCCCCGCAGCTTCCTTTTCCTTGTGATCGTGGTGTAATTCGACGTGCCTAAAAACCAGACGCATGTTTCAAAAAACAGAAGCGAGGCCACCTGTTCAATTCTTCAACTATTTCCCCTTGTTTCTTGATCAACTCTTGCTGCTCCTTCTGTTGGACCTTCATTTCGAGCAGCAGCTTTTCGGCCTCTTTTTCGTTGCCAGATTTTGCTAGGTCTGCCACCTTCTCCAGTTTCTAGAAAGGTGAAAAGTCGTCAAAGTAAAATAGACGTGGCAAACCTGTGAAATGTTGATATTCGCATCCATAACCTTCTCTTCCAGTTTCTCCAAGCTTCGCAACGCCTTCTCGTCGGCGGCGGCTTTTGGGAGTGGTCGTTCAACGACGTCGGATTTTTGTTCGGTCTTGAAGCGGTGGATTAACTAAAAAATCGAAAATCCGATAATACCTGAAGGGTAGCGATGGTGGAGAGACAGAGAATTGTTATGCCGATGAAGATGCACATCTAAAGACACAAATTCGGTGAAGAAATGTGATACAAACCCTTGCATAAAAGATCATTGGTGTCGACTTGTCTTTCATCACGCCGATAAACATCAGGGAGGGGAGGATGATGGAGGTGAACGAGCCGATGACGGAGCCGGTAAGGGACAGGATGAATTCGACTAAAAATATTTATTAAAACGAGCGGTTTTATAGATCATAAATTTTTTTTTCTTTTTTAAAGCCGTATTTACAAACCATTTGGAACGTAGATGGCCACGATGAGGTTGGCGAGCAACAGCACGAAGGTCAGGACGTGGAAGGTAGAGTTGTGGAGCGGGGCTGGCCCTGCGTGATCGGAAGAGCCCTGAAAAATTCAATTAGCATAAGTTAATTAGGCTAACATCTCAATCAGTGACTCCGGAAGTGCCAGCAATTAAATCCAACTCCTGGTATAAAAAAGCGCTGCGAAAACGCCTTGCTATTGGATTCGTCAACCCGACCCAACCGCAAGAAGAAGATGGCAGCGCAGAAGGGCAAGGAGATCGAGATCGAGCTGCAGCTGGAGGAGGGCGAGCCGCTCGGCGCCGTCCCGAACGACAAGCTCGTCATCACCCGCGTGCAGGCCTCGACGGTCGCCGAAGGACGCCTCCAGGTATAATCGGAATCCAGTCGGTTATGCAAATCAACTTCTAGATCGGCGACCAAATCCTGAAGATCAACGGCTTCCCGGTCGTCGACGCCAACGACTTCTACCGCCGCCTCCGCTTCGCCCACCCGGTCGCCCGGCTGCTCATCTGCCGCGGCGGCGAGAAGGCCCAAGAGCTCGTCCAGCGCGTCAACATCCCCGCCGACCGCGAGAAGCTCATCCTGCGCCGCGACGGCTTCTCGTACATGCTGGCAAAGCTGACGTGGGTGCCCGGCGGCCCGAAGCTCGGCCTCGGAATCAAGCACTACCAAAATCGTGTGCTCGTCAGCCGCGCCGATCCCGGAACCCTCGCCGCGCAGTCGCTCGTGGTACGTTTAATTTACTTAATCGTCCTAAATCGTAAATTTCCTATTTTCCAGGTCGGCGACCACTTGATCGACATCGACGGCACGCCCGTCACGGACAAGGACGTCGCCAGGGACCTGCTGCTGAAGGCCCTGCAAGCGAAGGGAGAGGTGTGCCCTGCTTGATGCCGCTGATCAACTCGTCCTTTAGGTGACCTCGGTGGTGGAGCGTCCCGAGTCGGGCGAAGCGAAGCACTGGGTGCAGCAGGCTCTCACCGCCCAGACGGCCGCCCCGCCCTCGGTCCAGATGAGCTCCGACGTGCGCGCCATCGCCGCCAAGCAGCGCGGACTGCTCGCTGGCAAGGCCGCCCTGGTCGGTGTTTGGTCATCTTCACTGCTGCTCTGGTCGTCCACTTTTACACCGGCGATCTTTTTTCGAAAAACGATTTTCGAGTTAGAAGTTTCGACTTCTTCGACAAGTTCGAGGAGTTTTCAAAACCAAAAAAATCGGAAATCGCTCCGGTTATCTACTTCTACTTCATGCTCCTTTTTCAGCAACCCAAGTCGATCCTGTCGAAGCCGGGCCAGGGCCAGGGCAAGAAGGTGGCCCTCAGCGACGCCAAACACTCTGAGCACATGATCGCCTCTGACAATGAGGGACGCAACCTGCGCTCCGTCCGCAAATGATCGGACCCCCCCACCCACCCAACCACATCATAGCAATGTGTAACATCACTTATTCCCCTCCCCTTACTTTTCGGGCTTTCAAACAATATGTGATTTCAAATGGAGTTGTACCCGAGTAAATGATGCACATAACCTGGTCCCTTACACTATACAACAACGCCAAGCAGTACAGACATACCTGTGGTGAGAGGAGGTTGAATAGCGCGACTCGTGCTGGGAAGAGCATCAACGGGATCGAGACGGCGATTGAGAGGAGAAAGGCCAGCTTGAGCATTTGCGTGAAGAATGTTGGTTGGAGGTTGACCTGAAGAGAGCGTTGAAATTAAACTTTGAACTACCAAAACGTCGCCGTGCATCTCGAGGTTATAGAAAGTTACGTAGCCAAACAGGCCGACGGCTGCGTACATTCCAGAGCAAAGGTTTATAGCTGAGGCGACGACCTGAAGAAGTGATGCTCAAAAAAGCCGAATGAAAATTACCGCGTCAACATGTTCGTCCGTCGCATCTTTCATACTGTCGGTAATCGAGAAAAGTTGCGTCTGACAGGCGAGCGCCATCGCGACAATTGGGAGGCTGGAAATAATGTACGTCTTCTTTGACGACCTAAACTTACCATGGAAAGAACCCCTCGAAACGCCACCAATGCACGTGAATACTCCAGGTGCCTTCCCATAAAACTGGTAGACTGCCGATGAAAAGCCGAACCTAAAAATGTATGAGAATCTCCACCAACACTATACCACAAAAACGGCATAGAAAAATACTGCCGCCGAGGACACGACGCTGAACACCTCCAAATTCTGGATCGTCGACAGCGGGAAGATGACGAAGAGCAATACGATAATCTTGAATAAACATTACAAAAGTGGATTCAGCTACAAACCATGACCAAAATTCGAAGCCTTTGAGTCGGAGCTTCGAGCTCCAGGTAGTCGGCAACGACGTTTGGCCCAATATCTCCTAAATCATGGATTTTTCGAAAACATAAATGATTACGTTTACCTATCACAACCATAAACGCAACGATGCACGAGACGAGGAAAGCGAGCATCATTATCTAAAAAAGCGGTTTGCGAGAAACTCTACAAAACCAACCCCGACTATTCGACGACCAAGTGAACCCATGCTAACCAATGCCAAAGATTCATAGTTGTGCCTCCTGAAAAAGTAAAAAAATTAAATCTAATTTACCTCGCTACATATGCGGCATGCGCAAGAAAATGGCAGGTCAATTTCATCAACACCGAGCAGCCACCGATCATCAACACAGCCAAGAGGATTCCGCACTAAAAAAACATTTTAGGACGGAAAAACAACGACAAACCTGTTGAAAAACATAGGGCATTGCCAGCACGCTGACGCCAATTATCGAATTGGTGAGGTTGAAGACATGTGGCCAAGGGTTGAACGAATGGCTTGTTTTCTAAAATCGAAAGAAAGTTTCTTTTGAAAGCATAGAATAATCCCAAAATTTAAAAATTTTCTTACTTTACGATTGCTCTCCGCATCGTACTCGTCGGCTCCATCACGTTGTATTAACAATTCTGTATCATCAACGCGCTTCTTCATAAACCTGCAAAGCATAAATTCCTAGAGTTCTCCGCTTCAACAAGCGAATAAAAGTAAAAGAACAAGATACAGTTTAGATTTCAACTTGTGCTCAAGCGAGATCCATTTTCTTATCCACAATTTATTCAATTCCCGTAATAAGTGAAAATATTTTTCGGCGTTTCTTCGACGACCACCCGATACAGTTTTGCCGGCTGCATCATATACTTTTGGAGGGTTTCGTACAGGAAGATTGTCAAATTCTCGGTCGTGCTCACCTAAATAAGGTTTAAAAAATGCAGCAAAAACGTACCCGTTGCCGGAAGTACGCCACATCCTTGTCCAAATTTTTATGATCAACTAGGTCGAGTACCTACAATCAACTGACATCAACAGAAGGTGGGCTAAAGCCATTTTTGCACTGTACGACAGTCGGGGGATACCTTTGCCATTTCTTGTTTGAGTAGCGCCAAGTCGTAGACCATGCCCGTTTTTTCGTTGACTTCGCCTTTTAGGGTTACCTAGAATGGGGGCCGGTTCAGCGTGTGTTTTTCTAGGACCCTACCCTCCATACATAGTTGTGTCCATGGCCGTTCGGATTATTGCACTTACCGTACGTCTGAATTATTTATGATTGTTTTTATTGGTTGGTCTTTATTTTCTTAAAGTATTGGTTCTTTTGCATTATCGGGGGGAGAGGGGTTTATCGGGGGAAACCAACTTTTTTCTCTTAGGATCTAATTTTTCAGATAAAGATAGTGGAAGTGTTTCAAAATTATTTCTAAACGAGTGAACTATACAAAATTTCGATTTCTTCAAAACCTTAAAATTTTTACTGTTCGAGCTTACCTCTTCGTTTTCCGCATCCGTCAACGCTAGAGAATGCAACCGATGAGAAGCGGAAAATGTTTCAACCCTTTCCAATTCGACGATCGGCATTTTCGTCTAATAATAATTCCTAGCAAACAGCTCGACTTGGTTAGTTATTATTAGCTGATCATACAAATCTGCCACATTCCATTTCAATAACTTTAGATTTATTCGGTCTATAATACTCTTTAAAACACAACAATAAACTACAGCAAAGAAAACACCGGTTCATAATTGGCTATCACAACGCGAAAATGTATGGAAAAGGCTATAACTAAGGCACACAGGTTATGTGAAGGTAGATCGGCAAAGTGGGCATGTCGATTGATTTGACGACTCGAACCATTTGAACTAAAATGCAATATATTTAGGGATACAAGATTATTGACAAGAATGGGCAATATTTCGAGCGGAAACGATTTTTTCAAAAAAAAAACTTAGAAAAATCGCTAAAATTGGGTTTGGTCGAAAAATCGACAGTGTTGTATCTTGAATGTCTATCCCGTGTTTTTACAATAAAATGGGAATAAATAAGGCTACAAGTTTTCATTTTTTATAAGAATTAGCTATCTATTAGATGGAAAATTGAATTAGAGAACATAGAAAAATGGCTAGAAAATTGTAATTTTCGTCGAAAACTCGATATGTGTCATATATATATAGGGTAAAAAAAAAAAAAAAAAAAAAAAAAAAAAAAAAAAAAAAAAAAAAAAAAAAAAAAAAAAAAAAAAAAAAAAAAAAAAAAATATAAAAAAAAAAAAAAAAAAAAAAAAAAAAAAAAAAAAAAAAAAAAAAAAAAAAAAAAAAAAATATATATTTTAAGCAAAATTTGTAAACTGGCCCTCTAAGAATAATAAAAAAACATTGTAAAAACAATTCCCAACAAAAGTGTTGGAAAATTTCTCTCCCGATATTGAAAAAAGAAACCTAAATTCCTTACCAAGCAATTCGAGTGGAATTTATTCTTGCACTGCTTGCACTTGACCCTGGGTAGTTGATGGGAAGAGGCGTGGACACTCATCATGCAGATAGTACAAGCCTCAGCCCCGGCTACCTCCTTGTCCACCTAAATTTCAACATTTAATTTCCCCGTGGAAATCGATACTTGTTTCTTCCACGATACCAGCCCGTCCAGCATCGACCCATTTTGATGGAACAAATACGTCGTCAGCTGGAGTAGCCATTTTTTCGTCCGTTCAGAGGCGGCGACCGACTGAAATAGAATAGAATTGAAAACAAATCAAAAATTTTAACATTTGAAAATCTGGCTCTATTGCATTATCCGGGGGGGGGGGTAACGCTTGATATAAGCCTAAATCTTTCCGGTACGGAATATCAAGTTTCTTAATAGAATTGCTCCTAAAATTTAACAATTTCAAATGGAAAATTCATACAAAAAAGTTCTAAAAATCAAAGTGTTGCTCAAAAAACTATATATTATATATTTTGCAGCATTTTTTGAAATATTTTACGTTAGAGTACAAAAAAGTGTAGAGATAATGCGGAAAAAGTCTCCCCCGATACTGGAAAAGCTCCAAAACTTTTTTAACAAATTAACTTTCAAATTGAAAATTAAAATGACAATTTCAAAATCACCTTATCAAGGGTAACTTGTGGTACATGAAGGGGCCAATCGCTCGGCAGGACGATGACCAGCCGCATCGTCGTCTCTTCTACCGTATACTCGGTCACCACCTCGCCAGCCGCTGGTAGCGTTCGTATCTAGAAAAAGGTCATAAAAACACCACAAAGATACCTTGAGCGTATTCTCCGTATTGTCGATGCTCGGCACACCTTCGCGCACCTTGGTCAGCTCGGCGTCGATGCCCAACTTGGACAAGTTTTCGCGGAAGAACCTAAGCCAAAAATACGCTAATTTTCGCAGCAATACTTGTTGACGGAAATTGATGGGGCCCGATCGAGCTTGTTGTACCACATACGGACGAGGGCTGGCACTTGTTCTACTAATCTGAAGCAAAAAAAAAAATTAAATTCTTACAGTTATATATTTTTACCGATAGAGAAGGGAACAGGCAAAACGGCAAATCGTGTCTGCCGCTTCTTTTGGTGGCTCCGTGGCGAAGTAGCTGGCGGGATTGGTCCGAGCTAAAAATAAGTTGGCATCAAAAAAACCTCCAAGAAAAAACTCACGAGTTTGCTGTGAAGCCAGCGAGACGACGACCGGAAGAGCGTGGAGGATCAGCGGCACCATCCCATCGCAATAGACGACCCGCTCGGAATGCGTCGGGAAAAGCGGGAAGATACGCACGCAGGCATCCAGTGCCAGGCATGACGGCAACGAGTGAGAGGCTAAAATGGGGGAATTGAGGAAGGGTAAAATGGGCAATCAAAGAAAATTATTTTAAGATGTTATTAAACCGATTAAATATGTTTCCAACGTCACTTCATGCAAAATATTCTAGATATGTAGAAAATTTGATAGAAAATCGTAGAAAAATAAATTTAAAAATTAACGCAAAAGTAAAACCTGGAGCTCAATGGTCAAAAATTTCGGGCTGCCAGGGTTGCAACAGCCTTAAGAAAGTGCCCTTCCCACCTAAAACTATCTCTCGAAACGCGATAGGTGGCTGACGAGCCTTTTCCCCATCAACCTTCAGCGTCTCCCCCGACTCTTCGGCGTAGTCCCCGTTTTCTTGGCGGTACATCTTCCAGGAATACCTAAAAAATTAGCTACTCACGAAGGGCAGATACTTACATTGACATCAAATGATGAGCCGCAAATTGAGCGTAATGATTTTTGGATTTTATGAGTTGAGCGCATTGTTCGATGAAAGCCTGTTCGACGCCAGAATACCTTGAAAAAGCGTTAATTTCCGGATTTACCCCTACTTGAAGGCATCGTATTGTGGCAGATAGTGCGGAATGAAGCGGAACTCTTGGTCGAAGTTCAATTCGGCGATCGACCAGACGGCCCGGCAGAGGGGCAGTAGAAAGGGGCAAGCTTCGGGGTCTTCTAAAAATACCTTCAGAAAGAAAAGGCCAGCAAACCTGGATCGACCAAATCGACAAAGAACCGTAGAATTATGCCAGAGATTGTCGGGTAGAACAGTTCTTGCCATTCCTAAAATATTAGATATTTCCCGATTTTAGTGCAATATACCTTTCTGAAATCTTCAGTGGCAGAGTTCTTCGCAAAATCGACGGCAGCGACCCATAGGCGGAGGCCCAAGAAACATTGGTGATCGTCAGCTGGCTGGCAGCTCGTAGCGCCTCGATGTTGGCCAGTGCAGAATCACAATGCTAAAAATAGAAAATTTTTTCAGTTTTTATTATTTTTCATAGACGTTCGATTCACTCAGATCTTTTTAAACTCTAAAAATCTCCCCTCCCCTCGCCAATGGACCAGCACCAAAAAATGGTTTTTGAGCTTCCGTACATCGAAAGTTGTCAACAGCCCACAGACGACGAAATCGAGCACTGACGAATCGCATTCCTTCTTCGAAGTCAGGATTCGAAGTGCCGCCCTCAAAGCGCAGATGCTGAGACGTTCTTGGGGTTTCCTAAAATGGGTCTATCTGAAAAGGATTTTACTGGACGCTTACTTAGGGATAAACAATTCAAATTCGGTAGAGCCAGATGCGACGACCCGGTTCAGCGCTTCCAGAAATTCAAGAGGCGGCTTCTGGTGGTAACTACAATTTATAATTTTTGAGGAGCCATTCCCTGCCTACCGTAACAGCCACCTTTCATCTTCGGTCAGTGGCGTCTTTATAACCTGCAGGTTTCGGAGGGCACACGCGACCGGAAATTGAGAGACTTCGGGTAAATCCTCAGGAATGTCCTGAAAAGGGAATTAACAAACCAGACTGGATCTACCTGGTTTTTCGAAAATCGGGCCATGTACCGGATCGCCAATAATGCCGTCAATGGAATCGGATTTGGGAGCGAGATCAACGTTTTCAAGATGATAGCTGCCAATTGAGCATCGTTCTGAAAATGCACTTATAAATAACTCCAAAATTATCACCTCAATAGTCGTCTCGAAATTATGGGCAAATTCCTCATCGAATCCATGGTCTTCGTCAAAGTGATAGTACTCGATCCCATCAATCGATCTCAATGCTGCGTAGACGGCAGAAATGCACAGAGCGAAACGACGTGATGACAGCTGGAAAAAGTTCTACAGAGAGCCACGCCAAAAATACCGTTGGGGTCCCAACTTTCAGCGATAAAAGCGCCTTCTTAGAGAAGATTTTTCGCAGCTCTGGCCAGCTCAGAGAATTTTCTTTGCAGCAATTTGACGTGGACGGCATGACGGCCAATTCGGCCAACGCAATGGGGAACGTCTAGAATAGCTCGAGAATAAAGAATGAGATCTGTCACTTACAAAAGAATCCAAGGATTCCAGAAACCTTGTCAACTCGTTTTGATCCGGAAGTATCGCCGTGTAATATTCATTCTCCGAGCACAGCCGTGTAAGAAGCATCGCCGTATTACGCACCCTGAAATTAAAAGGTCGTCAATTTCTTCGAAAAATACTGATCGTAAGAAGCTTCTCGTGTTAGGCGCTCCCATGCCGCCTTTAAGCTTTGCGAACTTGGCAAGTTGGCGGTCAGAAATCCGACGACCGATTCTAAAACTTGAATAATTTTTTACATAAATTTCTGACCAATTTGCGCGTCCGCGAGCTGCATAGCACACACCTGACCAAGCACCAAGTCGGCCATTTCACTGGCATGAGCGAGAGATAACTAGAAAAAAAACACAATCTAAATCGAATAAAACTACGTACCCGAATTTTCTC